GTGGGATTTCGGTTCCCATTGACCAAGAATATCAATTTCTTTTTTCAGATTAATGTGGGGATGAGGGAAAGTTTATTTTCCTGGGTATACCCATCTCCTAGGTGGGTAAATAACTTTTCCACCTGGGGGGAAAGATTCCAACACTTACCCGGGTAAAATGGTCATTTAATAATGGATTTTTATGGTTAAAATGGTCATTTTCTTTTTTACTTGGGAAATAAAAGAACATGGGTAAATGCACTTGCCTGGGTAAGTGTTTCCCAAGAAAAACTTACCCAAGTAACTGCACTTACCTGGGTAAATAACTTATCGAAAAGCAAACGGGGCCTAAAAGAAAAACAGGAATAAGGGTTTGGAGGATCGAACGCCTGGCTAGAACGACTTTCTCTCATATCTTTTACTTTGCTGTTAACTATCAACTATCAACCAAACCTCAACTAGGATCACAGGATTTCCTGTACATTCATCCCTGTAGAGAATCATTCAACAACCACCGATTTTCACAAGATTTTAAACTCAAATAAGCTTTTTGTTTAAATTGTTTATTTTTTTCTTCTGGATTTCCATTGCCTTAAGGGTTCAGATAATCAAACGCCTGGCTGAGATAATTCCCTCTCATATCTCACTCGATGTTGTTAAGTAAACCAAACACCAACTGAGATCAATGAAATACAGAGCATATGTCATCGCTCCTAATTTTCTGTTCAATTCAATACCTTACCTCAATTGTTGATCCCACTTGATAATCGTGTAAAAGTTAGAGAACCGTCTCAGCCTCAAGCATTCAATTCTTAGAAGTCAAAACTCTTATTAGTTGTTTTTCTTCTTAGTGATATTCAGTTCTATAAATTCTTATTTTTTATTTGTTTTAGAATTTTAATATATTAAAAACAGGATGGGAGAAAGTTTAAAATGTTGTTACTCCCACTCACACATGTGAGATTTAAGCATGAGAGGATGCTGACATGACACATTCTGATTTGATGTTCAGGAAGTTCTAGAGGCACGAATGTGTAGGAGATCCGAATTCGAATTGTACAATGTACAATTAGACGAAGTCTAAACCATTCTCTGTAAAAGACAAATGACATTATGTTTCATAATGAATCTGCTATAAATGGACCTGTTGCATTGTCATCACTTTCTTAGTTGTTATGGCCAGATGTAAGGCCTAAGTTTGTAGTTTCATTTCATTGTTTCCAATAATAACATAATCGGATGCTCAAGCATTTTAAACTTGTTATGAAATGTCCAATGTGCATGAGACAGAGAAGGCAAATGGAATCAAGGTTTTAAAAACTCATTGTAAACTAAAACCATTATGGCCACTAGTTTTTGGGTCGACAGTTTGACTATCTAGTTCAAAAGAATAAATAGCCTATTTCAATGAAAAATAAAAAATAATTAAAATGAAAAATGGTAAAAAATATTAAACAGGTCGAATAGGTTAGCGGTTTGACCACCTAAATCAGCATGTCGTTGATCAATTCAATGGTTTTTTGCCAGAGATCAAATTTGGGGTAAAACAAAACCAATTGCCCGGAGAATTCCTAGGCTGAATGGTCCGACCGTTTGGATCAATAACGGTTCAAAAACAATGAATATAACACATGTTTCTAATGTTTTAGAATAATACAACTTTTTTTTAAATGATTACTAAAACTCAAACAACAAAACTACCCCTATCTTACACCCCCGCCGGTGAATTGTGATAAATTCCTCTTTTTAACTGTTCCGATCTGTACGAATGCATTAGGATTTCTGATTGCGATTGAATAATAAGCCCCCTTTTTTGTAATCTTCATTCCATATACTACACGTGCATTCCAATTCATTGGATTTAAGAAAAAGTTTGTCAACTATTTGTCAAGTTATTATTAGGTTTAATATATTTGACAAAGGAATTTCAAGTAACTAAAATTCATGATGTTTAGTTATTAATGCTTAGTTTGGAAAGAGTATAAATCAAAATACATATAAAATATAATGTTTTGCACTCTACATATTTGTATTTGTACTCCTTTTAAATTGAGCCTAATATAAACCTGGCATATAACTTAAGGTCTATTTGGTTCAAGAGAATAGAACCTTGGAATCGGAATCAAAATGGGTCATTCCATTTTCGGATGTTTAATCGACCAGAATGGGAATGAAAAGAAGGATGGGGAAATGACCATTCCCAACCCCTCCCCCGGAATGGGAATCACATTCCCAAATTGTAATTACACAATAGAGGCTGAGATCCTGGGAGTTCAAAGTTCGAACATAATTGATCAACGCCATCAACACTACTTTTGGGAATGTGATTACATAATAGAGACTGACTTCTTTATCATTCCCAAAACCGTGTTTATGTCAACACGGTTTTGGGGTTTGCTCACCACCTAATGTGTATGTATTGTATTTGACACACAAACGGTTTTAGCCTCTTAATGAACCAAACAACATCAATTGGAATCCGATTCCAATTCCTGTCTGAACCAAACAGGTAGGGGAAATAGACTATTCCCATTCCGATTCTAATTCTAACGGATTTCCATTCCGGTTCCGATCATAAACCAAAGGGACCCTTAGTTTCCAATATTTTAATTGGAAGTTGTTTTCCAAAAATGAGGACATGAGAAAGAATACAGGGTTCTTATTATATTCTTTGCCAAGATGTTTTATTGTTCAATTGTCCTCTCCTCTCCTACTCCCAGTCCCAGCAATGAGACTGGGTCCACATTGAAATTATTGCCTTGAGAGGAATCTTTATTTCTCAAATTGTTCTCCAAAACTAGAAAACAATGCAACATTTGGTAACTTTCTTTCTAGTGTTGTTTCTGGAGCGGTGTTACCAAACATTGCCTAAATTTCCAACGAAATCCTAAACAATGAATGGGACCTAAACATCCTTTCAATTAGAGATGGCAATTTTCCCCATTTCTTCGATTCCCGTGGGGATCCACCCCAAATGGGGCGGGGATGGGGATGATTTCCTCCCGCAGGAACGGAGATGGGGAAATTTTCATTCCCGTTAGCGGGGACAGGGCAGGGACGGGGAGAGCACTCCTCGCCCCGCGGGGACTCCGATCCCCACCCATGGGATCCCCACTAATATATATGTATATATATATATATATACATATATATGTATACGTTATATATGTACGCATACGTCTATATATTAATATTTTAAAAATATAGTTGAATATGTTTGAATCTTTTTTAATAGATTATAATTTTTAATTATTATTTTTTATTTTTTAAATAAAATAAAAAACAAAAACAAAATTATTAACATTATAAAAAATTACAGAGAATGGGGATCTCGCAAGGATGGAGATCCCCGTGGGGATGGGAATGGGGATAACCTTATCCCCGTTAGCGGGGATGGGTATTTTCGCGGGGACGGGGATGGGGAGAGGCTCCCCGTCCCTGCCCCGTTGCCATTCCTACTCTCAATCTCCCATGATTGATGGTATGGGGCCCTCAAAACTTTCAATGAGTTTTATTTTCAGTGGATCGTTAGATTTAATAAATTCTTGACTAGCTATAAGATTGAACTGAATTTTTGTTCAGCACCCAAAATTTAATTAGGTCCAAATGAATATTTTGAAACATATAGAGACATTTTTGACATCCCAAGGCAATTTACATATAGTAATATTACATATACAAATGTAGGGATGTCAACAGATCGGGTTTGGCACAGGTTTGCCTCAACTCTAACACAAATATGACCTGACCCGACATGACCCGCGTAATATTTCAATTATATTTTTTAACACATTTTAAAGACCTAAAATCTATTAATTTAAGTTAGGAAATTGTTTTATAGAATCTAAAATGTCACTTGTACCATTAAAAAATCAAAACCAACATGTAAATAAATCTTAACTTTAAAGCTATAGAGTTGAAAGTCAAAAAATTATAAGAATATTTTATATATATACAGGGTATCATGATCCGACAGGTGGGTCAGGCCAAATCCAAATCCAGATCAGGTTGAATAATTAAAATTCTAACCCAACCCTAAAATCAAATATATTGACCCTAACCTAACCCACTGACATCTAAGCCAAGGTACTCTGTTCTTCGGTTGATATATCCAGGGGGATCAATTAAGAGGAAGGATGTTTTAGGAATCATGAATTCAGTGTATTGATCCAAATATACTGCTTTAATTTGTCTACTATATATAAAGTCCATGGCATGGCATGGCCATGTATATACATCAGATCTTAACCAGTAGGCTGGCTAACAGCTAGGATTTTAATGGCAGCGTAATTACCATACTCCCTGGGAGTACGGAATCAAGGAGAGCAGGTGCCACGGCCATCTTTGGAAGATGAAAACATAATCCGTGTTTTTACGAGCTTACATGTGATTATACCCGGGTTTCATGCCAATTCAACAGCCTTGACTGCGAGCTTTCCATTTCTTTTTTGTTGCTTTGAAGTAACACCAACTTAACGCTAGCTGGGTAATTAGTTATTGTTAAAGCTGGCTTTAAGCTTTTGCTTGCAAAGCTGGCAATTAACAATTAAATACTAGCTAGTACATGAAGAAGTCTAGTTTTGAAACAAATTAAAAACGAAGCGATCAGAGGCCTGTGGGCTTTGAATTCCTGACACCTATGCCCTTCAGGCTGGGTTTTATTATTAAGAGGCGTTAATTCCAAATACTAAAATATGGGGATGGTCCAAAACTATTAATGTAGAAAGATCCTAATCTCACCGTTTAATCGAATATATTATATGCATTTTTTTTATGGATTATTGACCATAGTTATAATCTCATATCCAATGAACTGTAAAGCTAATGAGGATCGATCCGCTATGTTGGATCCAGGAGCGATGATTCATGTTAGGTTTTAGAAGGGTATATAGGGAACAAAAAAGAACTTCCCTACAATTTGTTCAACCAATGAAACTGCTGCACTTACATGAATTAAGGGTCTCTCTCTCTCTCTAGTCCTACAGAAAGTACATAGTCTATACTATACATACACCAGGCACTTGTAGAAAGAGCTGATACACTGTGATACATATTAATTAATTACTTAAAAGCTATTAAAAGCAGCATTACAATTGAAGAAGCTCTAGTTCAGGCATAATAGATAGTAGTAATTAATTTTGACAAGATGCACCACCATGACATATGTGGTGTTTTTATTGTATACGAAAGAATATTGACGAACCTGCGGCGAGTCAATACGGTTTGATTAATTAAGCGTAGTCGCACATCCCGTATATACAGTAGCCACCAGGCATGCACCTGTTGTTGCAACGGCCGCAGTGTCTCTTGTCGAATGACAAGTTCACGCACTCACCGCTGCAACATGCCTCTGTGTACTTGCACTTGTTCTTGCAAGCTCCACAGTTGTTGCTGTCTATCGTCACGTTCACACATTTGTTGTTGCAACAGCTAGGCCCTGGTCTGCCTTCCGCCAGACACACTGAGATATCCTTGTTGCACTGGGACGACGATGCAGCCCTTGCCTTTGGGTTGTTGTTGTTGTTTTGAGCGAGGAATCGACTCACCACCTTTTTATTTCTGCTTGCAATTGATTGATCATGATGCAATGTTTCAGATGAAGAAAGGTCCCTAGGTGAAGTTTCTGAACCATTATACGCAGCAATCGGTAGCTCCTCTTCCTGTTGTTCTTGTTTCCCTTTGGTAGCTGCAGGAGTCATGATCGTCAGGGTACTGATGACTACGGCCGTGGCTATGGCTATGGTGAAGATTAGCTTCATGGTCTTCATGGGTTTGACTGTGGAAGGGGCGGAAGGGAAGGGAGATGAGAGAGGGAGGGAGGGAAGACGAAGATGGATCAGAAGACTATAGAAGGAGTCTTGTTCTTGGTTATTGCCTAGGAGATAGGTAGTGAGAGTAGCATCTACGAGAGTTTTATAGGGCGGCAATCGCCAATCGGCATGGAGAGGGAGGAGGGGAGAGTTGACGCGGGAGAAATGCTTGAAAGGAAAGGCCTTTGGGGAATGCTGCCATGTGTATGATGTAATTCAAAGGAGGGTTTGAAAATTAAAGCTTTAAGTTATAGCTTACGACAAATAGGTGGCGATTTTGTTGGTTCAAGTAAAGGGAGATGTAAATCATGTAGGCAACACTGATTAAGCACTTTATGAAATCAGCAAAGGAGGAGTTTCTTGATTTTAGCTCATGACAATTGTAGTAGTTTTTGTAAGTAAACGTACAGTCCACACTCCAACCGTCGTGATCAGCTCGATGCGTGAGCTAAAAGAAGGCCACCCAAACAGCTGATGATCTCTACAAAGTACAAACTATAATTTTTTGCAAGTTAATTGCCACTGAAGAATGGGCGGCCTTAACGTGGTCACACTGAGTAGTACTGAATAATTTAATGCAAGATATTGGGTTGAAGCATCGAAAATGTTGCCAAATTAAATATTGAGATATTAGAGGTGTTAAAGTTGTTAACTTACTTACAGTTGATGAATATGGGTTTTTTTTTTTTAATTCATATGGTTCCATGGGCACGGTTCCTAATGTAAGTAGACGTTTGAGAGAGACGATCTCCTCTGATGCCAGTCTTATTGCATTTAATTCAAGCCTATGAAATCCAACAATTGTAGGTGGGTTCAAAGGTAGGGAATTGGAGATACTGGTCCCTTAGATCCTTGGTAGTTTAATTAATTAAGCAAAGATTCATTAGTAGGTCATATTCTTAATAGAGTTTAATTAGCTAGGTATTGATGAGATCGCTTAAAATAATAAATCTTAGGCAGAAAAAAGAATTTTCTGATGTTGATTGAGCGAGTCATATTGGAAAAGGGCAAGTAAATAACAGAATCAAATTTTGGGTCAACTTTTTCACATATTCTACCTTGTACCCTTTACACGTTGTAGGGTCAAGACCCACAATATCAAGGTCCACATAAAAAGTCTTTTAGCCCGTCAAAAGTAAACAGATTTATGACCTTTTGAGTAGGGGTGTCAATTGGACTGGATTTCATCCAATCGGTCCAGTCTAATAATGTGAGTCCATTATAAATGGATTAGATCCAATTCAATCCAATGAATGTTTTGAACCAATTTAAACCGGTTCAATTCAATGTCTGAACCATCCAATCTATTCAAATTTATTTTGATTTAGATTGGTCATTTCATTGACACATATATTCTTATCTTATATCAATAGATCAGATATTGGCTTAATCCAACCCAATTCAATATAAATTTGTTACGAACAATCCAATCTAATAAATTTTTTGGATCAGATTGGTCCAATCCAATATTTCTTGTTGATTCGTCCAATCCATCCAAATTGATTTTCAACTCTATAGGATCCAATCCAACCGGTCCATTGACACCCTTACTTTTGGATGATGTTTGATAACATGACTGTACTAGAAATATAAACCTGGGAGTGATGAGAGAACATCAAAATGGTGTTTCCTCCATCAGCTGCCCATTTAGGCATAGGGATGTATTCCGGTGCATTATTGAATACTGATAATGCATGATAGATGGATATACACCATCAAATACTCAAATCCCACCTCTAAAATAGTTCTTTTTTGGTTCTAGCTATTCTTCTAGAACCATCATATCTGCATCTAGATGCTAAACATTTATTTTTAATTTGATTATTGGATGATCAGAGTCCATATAATTGGGTGGTGTTAAATTGAATATAAATTAATATTTCTTTTTTTTTGGCTTCAAGAATATAAACATTTCATTTAAACATCTTAGGTAGCAAGAAGGGTGCCAATGGACCGGTTTTGGATCGGACCCCATCCAATCCAAAATCAATTTGGACAAATTGGATAGACCAACAAGACATATTATATTGGATTGGACCAATCAGGTCCAAAATATTTATTAGATTGGATTAGACCTGATCCATCTTTAATAAATTTATATTGGATTGGGTTGGATTAAGTCAATATCTGGTCCATTGATATAAGATAATAATATAGATGTCAATGGATCGAGTTTGGATTCAAACCAATCTAAATCAAAATGAATTTGAACAGATTGGATGGTCCAGACATTGAATTGGACCAGTCCAAAATATTCATTAGATTGAATTGGACATGGTCCATTTATAATGGACTCACATTAGACTGGATCGGATTGGACCAAATCCAGTCCAATTGACACCCCCAGTAGCGGGCAATAGCAAAAGTAATATTATTCCAAAAACTTGTTCAATGACTAGTAAAAATAAGTAGTTAAGTAGCAACCAAACAAGTTTCATTAAAAAATGCCTGTATTGGCATTTTAACATGAAATGTAATTGCCTCTCTAAACGTTTAAGCCTGAATTAGCAATGGTACTTAATTAAAACCTTAATCACTTGATCTTTTTTATTCTTCATAACAAGTTTCACTTAAAAATATGACCAGTTCTACATCATTAGATCAGTTTTGGTTTAATTAGTACTCATCATGCAAACTCGAGCTGTGGTTATGCCTTCAATTGCACTCATAGAGAAGCACGTGGAAATGCACATGCAAGAGGAGAGAGAGGAAAATGGGTGCCGGAGGGAAAAGGTAAACGGACTTATATTAGATTTTTCATATGGTGATCTGGATGTGAAGCCAAGACAAATATTAACATTTACAATAAAAATTAATAAAGATAAAGCTGAGTGAACATATATAAAACCATAAACATTGATAAACACCTCTAAAAGGCTATGTTTTTATCTCTTATTTTCTATCACCAAACACAGAGTAATGGACCTAAACTGAATACTAGCTAGTTAGCTAGAACGGAACATGCATGGAGAAATTATATGTCATGTGGAGAATAAATCACTAATAGCCAGTGACTCGTCAAAATACTGTGGTCACAGAGAAGGATCTCCAATATCACAAGGTTAAGTTAATTTACTCCATAATCTAGACACTATAGTTTCTTAGTTATAATATGCCACGTGTCTTAATAAACCATGCATTTGCCCAGTAGGAATATACTCCTACCATATCACATGCCTTAGTAAACCATTTGCCCATCGAGCTAACAATCCAGGTCGTCTGGATAGAGACTGCTCAATAGAGAATGGTAGTTATGCTTGAAAATATAGCTATGTGTACATGTTAGGTCTATAACATTATTGACTATTCGTCCCATTATAGCATCCATTTCAAATATCAAACTTCTTGTTTGGCTTTTCTTATGAGAAGACATACTTCATGATCATGGTATTCGATCCAATGTGGCTTTAGCCCCCACAGAGGTGGAAACGACTGTCTTCTAGCTATAGACAATGGCATGGGTGCAAATAAGGCCCATTGGTGCAATATTGCGTAGAAGCCTGTGCATCCATTCATGTATTGAGGGATGCCCTTATCATCATTTCAACTACAAGTGGATTGGCAATGACTCAACATCCCTCCGAAAATGGAGGCCTGGTATGCAATGTGCCAACCAACTGGGTCTCTGCTTGTCGTAATGGAGATTTAGGATCGAATCCCGCTGCATCTGGGTTGGGGGATGGGCTACCCCATTGTGTGGCCCTTCAAAAAAATATTAAAAAAAAGAAAATGGAGGCCTGGTATCAAGTACACAGAACTGTAGGCTCCCCATGATAAAGGCAGTGGACTTTCACATGCACTAGCCCGAAATTTTACATGGGCTGGGTTTAGATTTTTGGTCTTCGGGTTAGGCTCGGGCATAAGAAATCAGGCTTTTTTTATTTTTTGGGCTGAGTCCAAGCCTAGCTCTTAAGTAGCCCGAGCCCGGCCCAACTATACACATATGTATATATGTTAATTTTTCATACATATTTACATATATGTATGTATGTATGTATGTATATCCATACATATTTGTGTTTTTATATATATTTACTTATTTACATACATATTTTGCATAGATATATACATAAGTATATGTATACATATTTGTATAAATACATATATGTATAATTTTAGAGTGGATTCATTGACCAACCTAAACCCGGCCTAGGCCCGAGCCCAACCCAAGTGCATCAAATTACAATACAGGCTGGGCTCAGGTTGGAAAAATCAGGCTCAAGCCTTAAACCCAAAATTTAGGGTCAGGCCCAGGGTTGACCGTAAACCCAACCCAACCCACCCGACTTGCACCCCTAGGGCTGTCAAGCATGAGAACTTTGCCCAAAAAAGAATTTAGCTAGGTATTTATCCATTCTACTCCAATGAAAAAGATTCCAAGATCATGATTGGGTGTCCATCAACTAATACTCTTAGGCACTGTTCACTTTTAAAAAAGTTACTTATCTATGTTCTTTTATTTTCCAGATAAATAAGATAAAGACCACTTTAGTTATAAAAAGTCATTATTAAAAGGGACAATTTTGTCCATTCATGTGTTGGCAATTTTTTCTTTAGAATGGGAACGTTATTTACCCACATAGAAGATTGGTATCACTTACCCAAACAATTGATACTTAGAAAAAACAAATTTTCCATAAACTTTACATAACTCTGAAAAAAGAATATAAATATCTTGTTCAATGAAAACCAAAATCCTATTTATCAACTTTCCCCTCCACCCAAAATCCAAAAAAAAAAAAAAAAACGAGCATGACCTTGTTAGCAATTAAGCCAAGAGTCACCTACAGGTGCAATGGACTCACACCAATACACTCAGTTACAACAGGATTCATTTGATAACGCTGTGAATACATACATAGATCATATATATGGTCAAATATACACCCCTCCACCACATACAATCCTCTCAATCTCTAATCATATAATTAATAAGCTAGCCTTCTTCTAAACCCTTGAATATGTATGCATTTTACTCCCCTGAAACCCTATCCCGTAGGCCGTAACCGTGGCCATCAGCTAACTTCTGGTTTTGACTTCTTGGCAGCGAACACTTGAAATTCACTTCGTGTTCCTCTTTTCGTTGCCGACAGTTTACTGCCTTACCTTCAGGATTTGGACTTGAGTGCATT